TGAGAAAGACAGTTGTTATAATATGTTAAATGATATCCTCATCACTGAAAGTGGCTGCAAAGAAAAAGAGCATTGTGAATTCGATAATATCCCAGATATCACTATTACACCCCTTGAAGAAAAAGATGATCCCCGACAAATTGGCGCATTACAATATGTGGCTGGTTATTTTTTAAAAAACGCAAAACAAAAGGTTTTCAAGGGGTGTAATCTGTGCAAAACTGACTTGGAAGCTCAAGGTGATGTTGAGTACATAAAATATAGGGAGTATGCAAATAAAAAATGGCTTTGCAGTCCCAGTCAACCTCTCTTGTACTGCGTTTCAAATTTACAAGACATAAATTATGCTATATTAAAACAAAATTTTGAAAAAAAACATATAGGCCAACTACTAAAAACAATGATTTTGATGTTTGTAAATTTTGATTTTATCACATGCGAGCTTCATAAAGATGATGTCATAAATTATTTAATAAAAATTTCTATTAGATTCTTTATCTTTAATTATTGTAAAGAAATAAATAAAATTTTAGCTAACAAGAGAGAGGGTGATGATGATGAAGATATCTTTAAAGTTAAGGCTAGAAAATATTTTCTAAAATGTTTTAAACGAAAGCGTTCAATAAAATTATAATTTTGCTATTAAGCTGCCGTTTTAATTTTATGTCCCTAATAACCTCGACCGCTGATATTTATTTCAAATTTGACTGATCCGTTTAATTTCAGTCTTAGATTTGAAATAAAACATCAGCGTTTAAAAAGCGTATTCCGCATTATGCATCTATATAACCTTTAAATCTAAAGCTAGTAGATCTAAAACTCCTCCATAGATGGCACCACTTTATCACTTTCCTCTTTTGATAGTGGAGATAACTCTCTATTCCCTATATACTAGTATACTCTATGGTCTACAGTCGCGCGCGGACCGTTTTGTAGGTTTTGGTTTTTTTGACAGTCACCAAATCAATGTTTTTTAATTCAAAGCATTTATAGTTAATATCGTTTTAAAACTTGCTATGAACTAGTTTTCATAATAATGTTTATAATAATGTAATTTTCTTTCCCTGTTTTTAACAGATTAAAAATGACTATTGTTATGTTCGCTTTTTGTGGCATAGAATGTCACTTTTTTGAGCAAATAAATAAATAAATAAAATAATTGTAATTAATGGCAAAGCAAATACAGCAGACAAAAGCAGCTGTCATGTCGCTAAGACGTGCAGTCTCTTTTGTTCACCCGTTAAATAACATTAAGGTGAACGAGACGGTAACATATGAACTTAGATTTACCTACTTTTCGCGGTCAACAAAGTTGATAGAAAAGTAAAGCGTTTTGAAAAAATAATGCAAAGAAATTTATTCAAAAAAAGTATTTTAGTTAAAAAAAAAGTATCTTCAAAATACTAAGATACTGGAAAAAAGTATTTAAATACAAAATGAAGATAGGTACGTATTTTTTTATCTTAGATCTCTGCAAATTTGTCTCCCATGGGTTTTATTGACGTACAATAAGTACTCTAGGTGCAGGTGGTGTAAAGTATTAAAAAGCACATTCGATTGAAACCTGTTTAAAAGTGTTTTATTTAAGCTATTCTTAGTTACTTAACAGGTGCATTGTTCCCCAAAAATATTAACGGGCGATGACGAAATAAATGAACACATCATAAATTTTAAGTCATTATATTTTTAGTGTAGTTTCACAACACGTTCATGAATAAATTATATTCTTTTCTCCATATCATAACATTCAGATCATTTATAGATTATACATCTACTATCATCACTTACTTAATTAAAATTAATTACATACATAAATAGCGCTAGTTATTCAAACATTTATCTATTTCAGCTTTGATTGCCCGTTTTCAACTTTGAGTAAGCTGCTTGACCAAGCTTAATTATTTAATCTCATATCAATGATGGCTACCGTTTTCTGCCTCACCAGATGGCGCCACTGTTGAGTGAAGTCCTAAATTGTAACTTTTAAAGTTTATTAATACGCACATGAAATCAAAGGTTACATTTAGATCGTATTTTAACACAAAAGAACCATATCCTAAACATAATAGGCCATGCCACAGTGACGCGCAGTTCCATTTTATTCGGAAAAAATGGGAACATAATCATTTTTCTAAGCTCAAATTTTTAATAACTGACATTCATTGCCACATAACTCATATTTGCCATAATTAAGCCGAATTGTTACCAATTTTTCACAACATTATTTTAATTAGAAATAAACCCGCGTAGTCAACCAACAAGCAATAACATTTGACATTTCGGAGACCTCACGCTACACTAGCGCCTCTAGCGGCGGATTCATACGCGATAGCCCTCATTACTCTTACGTTACAAGATTAAATAAATAAGTTTCGATCCCATTAATATTCCTAGCAATGCGTGACAGAGAACCCGTGGTCGTAAAATTCTAATATCAGCATTTGTAGCACTCGCAAAATGGAATAGACTATTGTTATAATCTCACGACCGGCTACAATCTGTTAACGCATTGTATAACTAAGCAAATGGCTACAAAAATCACTAAAAATAGAACATTTTTGCTCTCTCAGTGTCAGTAAATTCGGAGCTGTTCAAAATGAGCACTGTACCCTTAGTACGAGTTTTACAATTACGAAAACTATGATAGTTTTCGTGAGCTCGCACTCGTTGATTTTCTTGTTTTCGTTTCAATACAAATAACCAGTGTTCAAATCTATCAAAAATCATTTGCGTCTTCTTAAATTTTAAGTATATTTGGACACTTTTCACCAAAATGGACATGGAAACATAATTTACAATTACGAAAACTATGATAGTTTTCGTGAGCTCAAATTTGTACTAAAGGTACTGATTCTCGTAGCCAACTGCAGAATAAACTTTGGTTGGTCACCTCGTAACTTCCTGCGAAGAGTTTTACGATTATTGCCAGTCGAATAGCTCTCTCAACATTTTATAATCTACGAAACACTTACTAACTAAACTAAAACTACTTTATGGCAGTATTGCAGGAAATTAGAGAGCAGACAACGCGAGTTTCATGTTTATACGTATCAAGCAGCTTAATGGTGGGCTGGCTGCGGTCGCTTGGTAAGTAAGATTATGATTGCACGCAGGGCCGGATTTAAGGCAAATCTTAAGTGGCTCTAGGGGGCCATTCGCCCAACGGAAATGCTTTGGAAAACGCTATCGCTTACGATTTTATTTTGTTATTTCTGACTGCCGAACTGCCGGTTTTCAAATACCTCACGCTCATTTTTTTAAATATTGTTATTACCAATGCAAAAGAAAAAATAAGAGCGCGAGGCATTTGAAAACCTCAGGCGGCTAGAACTAACAAAACGAAATCGTAAGCGATAGCTTTTTCCTAAGCATTTCCGTTAGGTGAATGGCCCTCTGGGCCCCCACAACCCTAAAACCGGCCCTGATTGCACGCGACACAATAAAATAAAAAAAACCTAATGGACCCTGACGTAAGGCTATGTAGGTAATAATAAGGTTATGTATGCCATAATCATCTTATTAAAACCTAAGATGTTTTAAATAACCAACCAATTTTATTAACATCACATTCACCAATTAAAAAGCGAGAATTTATTTTGTAATGAATAAATAGTAATTTCAAGAATTGTGAATTCCCGAAAATTTATCTACAAGCTCCACTTGCATAGTACCTACGTAAATTGCTTTAACGCAATGTGAACGTAAAATAATTTGAAAAGTCATAAACACAAAACTTTGGCAACATGTTCTCGTTGTGCTGTGCCAGTAAACAAAAACGTAATGCTTGTAGAGTGTATTTATAAACCTTAGAGTCGCCGCACACGGGCCATCGACCACAACCACAAAACTCCGCAACCGGCATATTTCTTGTAGTTTTCATACATTTTATGTGGACTCGCCACACACGGTATGCCGGTGGCCGCCACACGCTACAAATTGTTGTTGCTCGCTTCTTGTGGCCCGCACCGGCCACTTAATGCGCCGATACAAAACGCCGCTACACGTCACTCGCGCGATTCACCACCCCTCTCTCCCTTACCTTAGTCGGCCGCTGTCGCGCGCTTCAGCCACTTTAGTAGCCGCTTCTAGCTTCTCGTGGCGGCGTTTGTGGCTGTAGCGTGTGGCCCGTGTGCGGCGACACTTACAGCTAAAATTAATCCTACAAATTTTAAAGTAAAGTAGTGGTATAAATTTATAATACCATTTTCCTAATAAACTCATGCAAAGCGGCCAGCGCTGTTAGTGTGATTAATATTTTTTTATAAATCACTATCACTCATTAATTTTATCTAATATTATCCTAAAAGATATGTTACCATCTGGTGGGTCTTGTATAAAATAATCTTTTATTCATATCAAATATTTAGTTCAATACACCAGAGGTAAACAGACTTCCCAGCCTGATTTTGTTTTAGCGGAATATTTCAATACATAGTGGAGTCGATTCTGGCGTGATTCTCTAAACTTAAAGCTAAATTTAATATCAGTCTCTCCTTTTCATACTGTATAGAGAATGACAAGGATACACTGGTGCCAATTCTAGCGTGATTCTCTAAACTTAAAACTAAATTTAACATCAGTGTCTCCTTTTCATTCTGTATAGAGAATGACAAAGATATACTGCTGTCAAATTTAAGTTTAGGTTTAGAGAATCATGCTAGAATCGACACCACTGTTGTCAAATTTAAGTTTAGGTTTAGAAAATCATGCCAGAATCGACACCAATGCCTACTTAAAACTATAGATTATTATAATAAAAATACTGTTCATTTACAATCAATAACAGTAACATTCTATTAGTCAGTTCAAAATGACTTCAATAAACAACGAAGCTATACAATGCTCAATTGTAAACAATTAGTCAATATATTTCGAGATGTATTGTTTTTATTATATTTCATTTAGACTGAGACGACTCAATAAACCAAACTTTTAAAATAAAGTTTGATTTCACAAAACACAGAAAGTAGTTTGTGGAAAATAAACAAAACACAGATTTTTCTATATAGGTACATTATCAAAACTTTTTGTGACGATAGAAAAACAAAAGCTATGGTACGGATTGCATAAATCCTATGCGCATGGGTTTTTGAAAACAGCCTAAACTTTGTACATAACATGAAATTAAAAAAAATCTACCTATAACTTATTCTCTTTTGTGTACAAAAAGAGGTTTAGATTACAAGACTACTGAATAGATATATAAATATTAGTTTATTGGCACATGGAATCCACCAAGATGAGGGTGGAGTAAAGCGAGCAGCCGAGACAGATCATGGTGCCCATGGCGATGCTGGAGTGGTACATCCGGAAGGTCCTCAGAACGCGGACGTAGCGGGGACAGTGTGCGAGCTCGCCTAGAACTAGGCGGCCGACCTGAAACAAGGACATTTTTAAATTAATACGGGATCAGGGCAAAGATTTTTCCATATAATGCGATTCAACTAAGAATAGGACCGACTGGCCGCCATATTGTGATGTCATAGCTGTCAATTCAAACCAAATAGGTAGAGTGAGCAAAAAAAAGTTTTTATTTAATTAAACTTATTTACTAAGATTAAGTAAGAAAAGCATTAGATTTTTGAAGTTATACTTCTTTAGGCGCGTTATGAAAAAATGATGAGAGTGAAATTTTAAGATGCGCGCGCATCACTGTAACACAAAATTTTAACAGCATGAAGTTGGTCGCTTTAGCGACCAACTTCATGCATTACTTTTGTCTTTACCGCACATTAAGAAAATCTACCAACAAAATAGAAATAGAATCTCTATTTAGTGGGTGCTAACCGACTGCATCGTGAAGGCCTATCAAAAGTATTTATTAATCTGGAACAACGGAACCAAAGCGCGATTCAGGAGACTACAGCGCCATCTCTTGACCATTGGTGTAGTAGAACCAAAAACCACATCTTTATTTTTTGTAATAAAGTAACAGTTATAGGTATTCATATTTATAATATCAAAAGTATTTATTAATCTGGAACAACGGAACCAAAGCGCGATTCAGGAGACTACCGCGCCATCTCTTGACCATTGGTGTAGTAGAACCAAAACCACATCTTTATTTCTGTAATAAAGTAACAGTTATAGGTATTCATATTTATAATATTTATCCACATGTTTCTAGTTTGTATATTCGGAATTCGTGTTTGAGTTTCATACAAGTGCAAATCACATATGTTCTAATAAATTATATTCAGTGGCGATTTTAATTGAATATTTTGATTATTTATTTATTTTTTTAAATTAAAACTGAACTTTATTGACTTCGTCCTTTTCCAGACTTTTTATTAATTTATTGTAATTAATTATTTGCATGCAATTAAAAACTAATTTTAAACGATGCCAAAGAAGGATAACTTCTCACGCGCCTACATAAGTACACGCACCCATTTTTTTTAATAACATTTATTTACTAACATTGAGAAAAAAAACCCACTGATTTTTAATAATATTTATTTATTAAGACTGTGAGAAAAAACATTAATCAGAATCTAGCCCTTCAATTCCGCTCATCTCTGCATTACCGTCGGAGTAGTTAAGAATAAATCATGCACTATTACTAGGTCACATACGAACTTTAATTTTTAACACAAATCCTTTATGTAAACGAAAGTTTGAAAATGAATTTCTGAACGCAACTTAAAGTGACATTTGGTTGACGATTTAGGTTATCAACCATTCATGGCTAAAGCTCAATAAGTGAAAAAAAATATCAACCCATATTAATTATCAATATTTGTTATTGTTTGATTAAAAATGTTTGATTTTTATTCTTGAATTAGCGGATATTGCTAAAAAAGGGTTCCATGTTTTTTTGTTGCAAACTGTACTTTTCAAGCGACATTTGACAGATAGAGGTCATTGGCTTTCCTATTCTTTATTGAGTCGCATTATACGTTCTTGACTAATTCCACCTTAAATAAAACAAGTTTCAACGAGATAGATGCACTGTTTTTTTTTTTATTTATTGACGTTTCGCATCCAAAACGAAGATTGATTGTACAGAATGCATCTTATTCAGAACACGCTTGAACGCAGAGATGTTGTTTTATTTAAAGAGCGGTGTGCGTGAAAGCTAAGAAATATATAATTTCTCTTTGTTTTCATCACTAGAGAGATGATTTTTATACATTAAATATAGTTTTAATTGTGCTATGCCATTGGACATGTCTTCCTTTTTTGGAAAACTTGTGTTTCATAGCTATTTGCTTTGCCCTCAAAAATGCCAAAAAAAAGAAAAACGTAAATATGGACGTCTAGTGTGGAAATTCAATAAGCATCTACAAAAAAACAAAACATAGAGGCCTAATATGACTACTTATGTATATTTTTTTTACATATATCTAATTTTCGTGAGTCGAGAGTCACGACCTCGAATTTTACAATTTTCAGTGTTGTCCTTATCGCACGTACCTATATGCCAATGAGCAACACAATAGTTTTTTCAAATACCTATTTCTCAAATATCTCTCAGCTTGCGTCTGCTCTTAAAAATTGATAAAATATCATCAAGCGTACGATTCGGCACTCCGATGCTCTGCGATGTGATAAAACAAACATTTTATCAATAATCACATTCAATAACTTTGAAATCTTTTTTCCACATTAACATTTGGTTATTAAGGTGTTCTAACGTAGAATAGTTAAATTAAGTAGGTATATATATGATGTAATTTTATTCAATCATTATGTACATTGACCGATAATTGCATGGGAGCAGTGCGTGAAACATTTTTTATAATTGCATATTCTAGATTAAGTATACATTTACTTAGGGACAGTCTATTAGTCAAACCTAGGTGTGTATACATAGTTTCATTCAGCAAGACAGTTACTTAAGTGTCAGTCAACATATAATTTAAAATAAAGTAGATTCCTGACTTAAAACTGTAAGAAGTAGTAACGAAAAATTAGTAAATTATTTTTTTATTTAATTAAAATAGTAATTGTGCACAGTGCCGTCTTTGACCTATTGGAGGCCCTGGGCATATTAGGATAATGGGGCCCCTATGACCAGTATTATGTAAACAGGAACTATAAATATAGGGACTTTGTATTTGATCTGAGGGGGGCCCCTACCGATCGCGGAGCCCTGGGCACTTGCCCAGAGTGCCCACTGGGAAACACACGAGCTTTTTTTAAGTGGAATAAGGATTCTCCATGTTTCAGACTCAGCGTAATATAATTATGTAAATTATAAGTTCCTAGTTCTTTATAAGAAATTGTGTAGTTGTTATAGTGGCCTATCTATATAGAACTATAAATTCCACACAATTTCTTTGCAATTATGTTCTCAGTCAATTTAGATATCGCACGCTGAATATACCGCATTGCAATGCCGCCCTATAATAATAATAATTTTATTGCTCAATAACAGTACGTACATGAAAGATTGAACACTCTGATTTCCACGATAATAACACGCACTGCCGGATTTAGGGGAGGGCAACCGGGGCGAAAGCCCCGGGGCCTCCACACACGGGGGGCTCCCACAATAGACTTCGGAAAAAAAAATACAAATTCCAACTAGTAAACACTAGTAAACATCTTTTCGGTTCCGTTCGTTAACTCTAAGATTTAATTTCAAATAATTCTTGTTTCCATTTATATTTATATGTGTTTGTTCAATACTAAGGGAATCTACTTGGTTCACAATAAATTATTTATTGAAAAACTCGACTGAAAAAAAATTGTTTACTTTATTTGGAAAATAATTTGGGGTGAGGGGGCCTCCGCTCCTCTGTTGCCCCGAGGCCTCTGGACCTCTAAATCCGGCCCTGATAACACGAGTAGTATTTAACGGGACCAATGTGAATTAACTTTTCTCTATGTTGTTTTTCACCTCCCTATTTTCTTGTATACCTTTTTTTTATCATTACTATCCTTCTATGCTCTCTTTCCGACTTCTGCCCGCGCCCTGGCTGTATCAAATAGCATTCTCGAGAACGGACAGTATATTATTATACACGTTAAAATTTTAATAAGAATAACCTAGTTCAGAGACATATTGTAAAAATAATTAAATGAAAATAATATGAAAAAACTAGCGACCCGCCCTCGCTTCGCTTCGGTGTAGAGCTGAAATGTAGACTACAGTTTTTGTTCTCAGGCTTGTATTATACACAATGACATTCATCTATGATTCTTCTTACACCTGCATGCAAAGTCTCAGTCCGATCGGTTTAAAATTGACAAACTTTCATTCCCTATTTTATCCCCTTGGGGGTAGAATTGTTCAAAATCCTTTCTTAGCGGATGCCTACGTCATAACATCTACCTGCATGCCAAATTTCAGCCCGATCCGTCCAGTGATTTGGGCTGTGCGTTGATAGATCACTATGTCAGTCAGTCACCTTTGAGTTATATATATATAGATAGATAATCCTGTGTTACAGAAATCAGTATGGTAAGCCGCATATTGAAACTTTCGGTAAAACTGTACTTCCAGAGTCCAAGAGGTGATACTTGAACTTTTTTTTGTAAAAAAGATCTCTTTTATTTATTTTTTCTGGCGCGGCACGCTCGCTTTGCTCGCTCGGCTCGCGCGTTATGGTCACAACACTAACCTAACCTAACCTAGTGTGAAGTATTACCGCCCTGGCCCTGGAAGTACAGTTTAGCCAAACTTTCATGTATTTTTATTATACTGACCTCTTGTCCACCGCCAGCGACCTCCTCCATCTGCGTCTTCATGTGTTTGGCTCGTAACATGGGCTGCACCAGGCACACGCGCACGTGAGCCTCGATGCAGAACACGGCAACCAGCAGCGCCAACTGTAACAAACAGAAAACATATTGTTATAATTTTTCTTTTTAAAGCATGTAACTGTACTCCTAGCACGAATAAATAACGAATTCGAATCGTTTGCGAGTCTCCCTTTTCGATTATGTTGAAGATATTTAATACCAATCACACAGCAGTTTCTGTTATTGTTATTTTCAGTTTTTTTATTTATTTATTTAAATTTATACATTTGGATAGGTAAATTGAATTATTAAACATTGGTTTCGATTCTGACAGCGTTCCCTATACCTAAACTTACATTTGAGAACTGTACCCCTAACACGAACCAATATCGAATTCGTATCGTTTGCGAGTCCGAAATGTCATTGTCAAATGTGTACTGATTTTTATTTCTCGTTATGTACTTTGTGCCGCTGCTGTTCAAGTTTCCATACAAAATTTTACATGGATATTTCGGTTTGCAAACTATTCGAATTCGATAATGGTGCGTGCTAGGGGTACTGTTCTCAAATGTAAGTTTTGGTATAGAGAACGCTGCAGAATCGACACCAATGTTTAAGAGTTCAAGTTATCTAAGTGTATAAATAGCTTTAAAATAAAAAAAAATACTGAAAATAACAATAACAGAAACTGCCGTGTGATTGGTATTAAATATCTTCAAAATAATCGAAAAGGTAGGTATAAATTAACTAACTATACCCGCTATATTTATTTCCGGATTTCCGGTTCTTATCTTAATACATAATATATTTCAATCAGATTAAATAAATTAAAAACGTTTAAAGGATAAAAATGGTGCTGACCTCACCCAACACCTTGGCGATTAAACCTTCAACAATCAGCATGCATCATTACTCAAGCAGTTTTAACATATGGCGCCAACTCGATGGGTATTTAATTAAGTTATTATTCTACAATCATTTCGCAATTACCAATTATGGTGATTGTCAAATAAACATTATAATAGGAGAGAGAATAATTAATCATAGCAAGAAAAAGCAACGTAGATAATTCGTCGTGTCATTAGAAGGGTTGCGCGGCCTTGTTTCTTTTGTCTTTGAATAAATCTATGATTGTCGCAAACCTTGGCGCGATAAAACTGTATAAATTATTTTTATCGGTTCTTTGCGTTGTAGCATTATTGGAAACCGGGTAAATCTTATATAAAATATAGTAGAGATTACGGGTATCGCGCTGTGTTATAATAAAGTCATAAAAGCCATTTATTTTTTTGCTAATAGGCTTTTAAAAAGCTTTTTTATACGTCCCAGTATTACTTTATCCCAACCACTGCTTGGGACAATTGAATTGATTACCTACTCCTTTTAGCGAGTCCGAAATGTCATTGTCAAATTTTGTATGGAAACTTAAACAGTAGCGCCCGCCACCAAGGACGTAACGAAAACTAAAAATACACTTTTGACAATGACATTTCGGAAACTATTTGAATTCGATATTGGTTCGTAAGTCTGTTAAGTAAGAGATAAAGATACGATTTTAAAGTATCGCGTGAGTGCGTATAATGAAGGTCTTAACGGATCCAATACTCATAAACTTTATATTACTTACAGTCCGCGCAATATTTTATTTGCACTTCGATGTAATCGTAAATTGATTGCATCGAGCGACCCTGATCTTTAGAATGCAAAGAAAACGGTACTTATGCTACAGGTTATCTTCGCTTTTGATTGAAGTTTCACCAATAATTGCAAGTGTATTTTTTTTTATTTCTTTTTTTTAAGTTCATTCAATGTCTTAAACTCTTTTTAGGGTGCGGTACCAAAAAAGGAAAAACGGAACCCTCATAAGATTAATTTCTTTTCTGTCCGTCTGTCTGTTTACCAAGACCCTTTATCTCGGAAACTCGTACAGGTATCCAATTGAATTTTAAAACATATATTATTACTAGCTGACCCAGCGAACTTCGTACCGCCATAAAAAAATAGTTGAAAATTTAGGGATGTATGTATTTTTGTATGATGTATCATAAAAAAATTAAAAAGCAATATATATATCTAAAATTGAAAAAAAAAACATTTAGGCGTGGATTACCCTTAACCTTTAGGGGGATGAAAAATAGATTACATCCGATTCTCAGACCTACTAAATATGCATATAAAATTTCACGAAAATCGGTCGAGCCGTTTCGGAGGAGTTTAACCACAAACACCGCGACACGAGAATTTTATATATTAGATTATTATACTCAAATCTACAGTCTCTTGAAGCTGTGAAATAATCACACTATTCTAAGTTGACGTAAAAAAGATATTGCCGTTTATGTTGCATAGCTACACACTTACGGAACCCTTGACTCGCACTTGTACAGGTATATCTTATATATATATATGAGGAGCTCAATGGCACAAGTGGTTAGCGCGTTCGGCTGCGATCGTTGAAATTAAGCAACTTTCGCAGTGGTCGGTCATTAGATGGGTGACAAAAAATTTACTATCTCGAGCTCCTCCGTGCTTCGGGAGGCACGTTAAGCCGTTGGTCCGGCTGCATCTGCAGTCGTTAGCACCCACCAATCCGCATTGGGCCCGCGTGGTGGGTCATGGCCCAATCTCCCTATTCCATCCATAGGGAAGGCCTGTGCCCCAGCAGTGGGGACATTAATAGGCTGATAATGATGATGATCTTATATATAAAATTCTCGTGACACAATGTCAGTTACCATACTCCTCCGAAACGGCCTGACCAATTTTTATGAAATTTTATATGCATATTCAGTAGGTCTGAGAATCGGCTACTATCTATTTTTCAATATCCCTGAGTGCTAAGGGTTGTCCACCCCTAAATTTATTTGTTTTTTTTTTATAATTTGGTATTAAAAAATACATACAACCCTGAATCTTCACCCTTCTATCACCAACTCCTATTTTTAATAGTCATTTATATGGCAACACAACGTTTGCTGGATCAGCTAGTTATTTCTGAAAGACCAAGGCTCTTATTACAGAATAGTGATGATCTTTACTTGAGTACAGTAAGAATGGGATGTCGCCATGTATAGCACATAGCTTAATAGTACAAGCACTCATGAATGTCTAGAGGCTGCCCCATCAGTTCGTAAATCAAGATTGCAATGTACAATTTGAGCCAGTGAAAAGGTTAAGTGCACGTTTTAAGCCAGAAACATATTAACGTGTCGTGTCGTGTAATGTCGTGTCGTGGCGCGCCAGAAGCACATCGGTTTCATACATTTACTATGGTTGGAGACATATTTACGTGTCGTGTTGTGTCGACGCTCTAACCTCTCTATCTCTCTCTAACCCATAATAAATGTATGAAACCGATGCGCCACGTCACGCCACGACATGTTAATATGTTTCTGGCTTTATTTTTGCAATAGCCAATACTTTTTAATGTGCAGACCTTTTATAAATTTACCGAAAAGCCGTTTGATTTGAGTATTGAGTAAATATTGCAAAATACTCGATTTCCTACAATAAAGTACTTTGGGAGGTGCGAACTCAATACAACCGGCTTACGTCAGATTAATATTGACATTGAAATAATACTTATCTAATCATTGAGGATGGGGGCTCTACATCATCTTACTATCAAGTGTGTAGGTACACAACAATCAAAAGAGTCGATGTTGCTGATGTATTAAAGGTGATTTGTACGTAATAACTCGTCTAAAGTAGTAGACAATAATGACATACAAATAAATGACATTGAACAACCCACACGAATTTAAAATAAACCTCCTTTTACAATGTTTATAAGTAAGTAATTGAGGCCCGTATTACAGAATGACAATTAAGTGTTGATCTTTACTTATATATATATACAGGGTGGTCCAACTAGTGACGTTTTTTTTAGATTCCTCGTACCTTGGGATGTCCGAAAATACCCCAAATTTTTTCTGTATTTTTGATGATTTCTGCCAGCGAGGTTTCAAAAATTGTTATCTTTCTTCGTAGTAGGTATTTTGCAGTCTTTTTTTTTGACACATAATTGTCTTGAATGTTGTTTTAATAAAAAAATAACTCAACTTCCTGCAATTACTTAAAGTTACTCAAAAAAGGCTTGAAAGTTGGAACTTTAGTTTTTAGTAGGATTTACTCAAACATTCAACTTCCTAAATTGAAGTTGTGATTGTTGAGTAAATCCTACTAATAGTACAAAAAGGACTTTCCATAGGTTCTCGACCAACCTGTATATAGCGACATCCCTTTCTAACTATGCTCAAGACTAGATCAATCACTGAGAATCTTTTTACAGGCCTTAAAGTCATAAGAGGCCTTCTTTCGTTCGAAAATCAGTATTTGTAAAAGTCTAATATTTTAGGATGCTAGGAGTAAATGAATAATTTTGAACTTTGGCCACTGATAGTTGCTAATTTGCCGAAGGTATTTCTAAAGTTCTCATTCTGTCACAGTTACATCCAGACGGAGTTCAGACGGCGTGCTTAAATCAACCAAGCCTTTATTTAACACTTAGGTAAGTGTTAATTTTAATACTTGACGAACATACGGTGTGAAGTTAGTACCAAAGATACTGACCTGTACCCAGGAGGTAGCGGCGAAGTGCGTGATGCATTGCGTCTTGAAGTACGCGACGATGGCCAGCAGGCTGACTGAGGCATTAAATGCGTAGTATACAGGGAACAGTGCTGTTTGCACGCGCCCGAACTCATGCCGCGGCAAGCTGAAGTACAGCACGATACCTGCCAGATAAAAAACGCACTTATTACAAAAGTATTCGAATAAAAATTGGAAAGCAGGCACAGAGGGGTGTTGTACTAGCTGTGTACAGCAAATGTCAAAAGCCTTTCTACAACCGGTATGCATAGGGTAGTCCACCAATAGCATTCATTGTAGGACAGTAGTGCTATTCTGTAAGATCAATCTCACCTTTCACCACGAAATGCGCGTTGTGATTTAAACTTAGATTAAAACAAAAAGGGAAGATACGGCATTCGCGGCTCAAAAGTGATCCGCTTAAATTGTGGTCCACGACCATAATTCGCTTTAGTCACAATTTGACATTCAAACACGCTGCATGTACACTCAATATAACAATATTGCGTATATTCTGTGTTATGAAGATAAAACAATGTCTTCGATGCATTTATAAAGAACAAAAATAGTTCAAAATCAAATGCCCCGGCAACGCTTTTCATTCGTAAAACTGTGAAAACATTTGTTTCTCAAAAATCACGGTTTTAATTATTTACGTAATCGCCATTTTGTAAGCAAGAAAAGGACAACGATACGCTGCGTTGAAGCGTATAGTTCTGTCTCGCTCGCTCGATTGAATATTTATATACAGACGTGTGCGTGTGTGAGAGTTGCTTATGTAGTTGAGTCGGATCATATTTTATTTGAAGCTAGTATGAGCGTACCGTATCTACCCTTTTTGTTTTAATCTAAGGATTTAAAATAAGAACACGAATTTCATATGAATTTCAATTCGCACCGGAAAATTCCGTGATTGTTCTTACAGAACAGTACCCCTAGCACGAACCAATATCGAATTCGAATAGTTTGCTAGTGCGAAATGTTATCGTCTTTTGAATGAAAATTGTACAGCAGCACCACAAACGACGTAACAAAAACTAAAAATCAGTACATATTTGACAATTACATTACGGACTCGCAAACTTTTCGAATTCGATATTGTTGCGTGCTAAGGGTACGGGACTGTTGAACAAGGCAAGGTAAATTACCCTTTTGGTGGACTTTTCCTCGATCTATTTAGTTACCCTCATAGGTAACTCTGGTCGAAAGCTTTATTGACGTCAGTAGCCAAATAATTAATAGCTAATTTGGTATGTAATGCTCTTTCAGTTGTAGCCATAAATGGCTATTGATTATGTAGTGTTGCATTCAGTAAGGTTACCCGAGTCTCTCGTCATATTTGCTTGCGCTTAAAAATAATTCGCGAAAATGCACGAAAAATCACAGGGAGAGAATTATCAGCAAACTATTCTTTTTTCAAAAATAACATTGAATGCTTGACTAAGTATATGTAGATTTCATTTGCTCTTATTTTATTACCCGGCTGCGCAATGCAAGAGCGCGAAGCGCGACGCGCAGACAGGGTTATGTGTTTAACAGTCTATATATGTATGTTTGTTCCTTTGTGGCACACTAGAGACCAAACGCCTGGACCGATTTTGATGATTCGTACATCAATCGATTCGTCTCAATCATGGGAGTGCTACTAAAGATATGATAGTAATCAAAATTCAATATGGGCAAAATTAGGCGCCGTATTGTGACGAAGTAAAAAAAATTAGTTGACAAAATATGTGTGTGACTACTGGGCTTGTTTTTTTTTTTCAGTTTTTATTTGAAGTATAATTAAGCAGTCGGGTTTTTTGATTTTTTAATTTTGATTGTAATTAGCTGTGCGTCGTACGTAATGATAAATAAATATGTTAATACAATCATTGTTAATAATAGAATTTGATTTTAATACAATAATGTCTAAATTATATAGAATCAGCCATGTTATTTTAATAGACATAATCGCTCTGTCATGCATGTTTTCTTCTTCAAACGGTGCCCGTTATTTAGTCCAGGGGGTCAATCGCCTAACGCTGCTATGGGTATCGCTATCGCTTATGATTTCATTCTGTTATTTCTGATCGCTGAAGGTTTTCAAATTACCTTACGCTCATTGTCTTCAATATTTTTGTTACCAATATATTTTTTACATTTGGGGCATTTAAAAAACCTTTAGCGGTCAGAAATAACAAAATTAAATCGTGAGCGATACGATAGCCAAAGCAATCCCGTTAGGCGAATGACCCCAGTCCAGTCATCACAGTGTAGCTGGACAAGTGGTAAAAAATATCGATCATTCATCATGATGTATGATGAATGATCGATATTTTTTCGAATTCGATATTGGTTCGTACTAGGGGTACTGTTCTGTACGAACAATCTAACTTTTCACCGCGGAATTCGCCGATGTGATTTGAAATTCATATGAATTGATATTCTGTTCTGTCTCGCTCGCTCGATTGAATGTTTATATACAGACTTGTGTGAGAGTTGCTTAGTAGTTGAGTCGGAGCATATTTTATTTGATGCTAGTATGAGCGTACCGAATTTCCCTTTTTGTTTTAATCTAAGGATCAGACGCAAATAACGAACGCATCTATTGGTTCACTGATCCAAAATAACTACATCCTTACGTCAATCTGATTGTTTTGATGTTACGGTTCGAGCGTCATTCATTGAAGTGAGATGAGAACGATTTATTGTAACCCCATTGAAGGTCATATCAATGAGCGAGGGATCGGTACCGCGTACCGGTTTATTGCCAATTTGCGAATTGGATACCACTTCCTAGACAGGCCCTGACTAACCTGACCTGACTACACAGCTGATTCATCACCAAAACAAACAGAGATTGTGTTTTTTTTATATTAAAAGGGTGGTAAACTAGCTTATCCGCCATCATAGCCTATTGAAGAAATATCACTTGCGTCCTTGCCTACTCTGACAAGGGTTGCTATCTTTTTTTTGTCGAAATAAAGTACATTTGGATATTAAAGTTAGAAAAAAAGTTACATTGTGTCCAAAATAAAGTACTTTTTATTCTACTTTATTAGTAAGCTTAAAAATATATTTTACGTTGCTACTTAAATAAGTAGCAACTTCTACTAAATAATTTGAGCCTACTAAAAATCTGTAGTTCTTTTCAGCAATGGGAAAGGTCATGGTACAAAGACATACAGCCACGAAAATGTTGCAATGTTGAATTAGCTGAGGGCGACATATTCATACTGTCTATCTGTCTTACGCAAAAAATATTCATATTAACCTCTTTTTATACATTTTATGTAAAATTAATCCCCGAGTAATCAAATCACATTAAATAAAGTATTTTCTTGTACTTTATCTATATAATATATAAAACTCAAAGGTGATTGACTAACATAGTGATCTATCAACGCACAGCCCAAACCACTGGACGGATCGGGCTGAAATTTGGCATGCAGGTAGATGTTATGACGTAGGCATCCGTTAAGAAAGGATTTTGATCAATTCTACCTCACAAGGGGATAAAATAGGGAATGAAAGTTTGTATGAAACTTTGTCAATTTTAAACCGATCGGGCTGAGACTTTGCATGCAGGTATAAGAAGAATCATAGATGAATGTCATTGTGTATAATACAAGCCTAAACACATAATGGGGAATCTAAAGAATAGATTGTAACTTCACACTCACCGGAGATCAGAGTCATCCAAACTTGCGCGCCCAGATGCGTGGCCACGGCGCCTACGTACAGGGCGCGCCATCCGCGCAGGCTGCCGTCGGCGCCCGAGCGCGCCAGCCACAGCGTCAACACTACCAGACCGAACAGCACGTGGACTGGCTGCGATGTCCGCGTTGCAATACTGCAAAGAGGAAAAAAAAATATTAATCCAAATTTTTCCAGGTGCACAAATCAAAGAATCCCTAAACGGGGATCCCGCGGTTTCGCACCAAGCAGCTTAGAGGGTATTCGCAGGGTTTTTTAGCGGATATTATGCCGTAAAGCGCCCGTAAGAGTTACGGGGTCCTCAGTGGGCAGCCACTGTGGGGGCTCGTAAGGTTTGCGGGAGCCAGGTGTGAGGTCCGTTCGGCGGTGTGCCTCTTAAAGGCGCCGTCGTCTGTAAACAGAGTTTTGCTTGCGTAACAAAAAAAAAAGGTGCACAAATCAAGAACGCCCGCCTACAACTCCCCTTTTTTTATACGCAGGCAAAAAATACTGTTTACAGACGACGGCGCCTTTAAGAGGCACACCGCCGAACAGACCTCACACCTGGCTCCCGCAAGCCTTACAAGCCCCAGCAGTGGCTACCCACTGAGGACCCCGTAACTCTTACGGGCGCTTTACGGCATAATATACGTTAAAAAACCCTGCGAGGTCTAAGCTGCTTAGCGCGAAGCTGCGAGATCCCCGTTTAGGGATTCTTCCGCGTGCCTACAACTCCCTTAAAAAGCAACACCTACAAGTTGGTTTGGACCGAAAATAATGAATAAATATGAGCAGAAAGAAGCAGGCCAACGTAAAAGTTAACTTATTGTCCTTTCGTCTTGTGAAAACAGTTTGTTCACCTCTGTTTTTAGACAAAAAAACTAATACCATTTATTTCCAAAACTGCGTCGTGAAACATAGTGCTGAGAAGAACTGGCAAGAAAGTAATGGCTGTAGTATAGATAGAAAGAAGAAAGAAATAAAAAGCTTTTTTTGACCTTACAGAAGTATGTAAAAAAAACAATAAACATAGCAACAAAAATAAATTAACAACAGTGAGCAACAATATGGAGAGAGAAAAGTCCAATCAGGACCCTGCCTCAGCTTAATGCTGTTATAGTAGGTGTGGAATATACCTACCATAACAGCTCTGGTATTCTGGCAGGGATAGATAGATAGATAGATATTATCTTGCTATGAATATTATGGTTTGTAGGTTAACATTGGCAAAAAGACGAAGTACTTAGTGAAGGCAAAGTCTGATGACGCCACGTCACGCGCGTTTTACTGTAAGTACATCATTCAAACTTAACATTGCAATTTTAAAAACTAGTTATTTACTTCGCCTTGTAAAGATGTTTCTTTTTCGATTTACTGTTTGATTTTATTTTGCAGCTTCATCATGCATAATGATAGTGAATTTTATACATTATACTTGCAAAGAATATCACTCTATTTAATTGAGGAG